CATTTTAAATCGTCTAACGCGCTAATGTATTCCATTTTTAGATGTCAGTTGTCTTTGAGTTACCCTTTATTTAACACAAACTGCCCGCATAACATTTACCGATCAAGATACGTATAAAACTAGTTTTTATTCCCATCACCGAAGATGAGAGGTATACTCGTTTGGTCAAACCGCTTGCAAAGCCCCGAAAAACATGTCAAAAATCCCACAAGGAATATTATATTATATATTCATGATCAACATCAAATTGTGAATCGATTTCAGCATATTTGTCTGTCTGTCCGTCCGTCTATTGCCTGTCGTAAAATGAAGCTACCGAGCTCAAATTTAACAGATATAGTGGAAATTTTGGAACGCATGTTGGTATTGAAAATGAGGTAAATCGGTTGAAGGTACGTCTACAGCAGCACCAAGTAAACTTAGAACATTTTTGTTTTTCAAAAGTAGTAAGCAATTGGTTTCTTGCTCACTATTCGTAAACTAATGCAGACAAATCTACAAAAACTTGAACGCATATTCTATGACAGATTCTGTCGTACCCGTACCAATATGGAAAAAATTGGCCACGCCTAATCAATGTATCAAAATTTAATATTTTTTCAACACCTTTAGAAAGCGCCGATGCAAGCTTCAAAATGGTCATCATTCTTGCTCAATCCCAAACTCGGGATGTATTTAAGCAGATCCATCATTTAGTTGGTCCATTTGTCCGTACGTCCAACTGTATAGCATTTGTGTTATGTATTCTTCCGTATGCAAAGTTGAAAATATCCCAATGGCCCAAACAGTTCGCACAATACGCCCGTGGCGCCCATATCTCTATACAAGCAAAGCTGAAAACACCTTTGCTTTCCGCATTTTTTGCTTTTTGCTTTCATACAAGTATTCTACAAAAATTGAAAGAAACTGCCACGCCCATTCAATATTATAGAGTATAAAAATGTATATTTTTTTCTTTTTTCTTTTTTCAATCTATCATAGGATAATGGTGATGGGGTATGAGAAATTCGATCGCAACCAAATAAAATTTTCTTACTTGTTATACTTGAAATTGAATTTTGTTTTTTGGTTTAACGTAAGTAATAAAACAAGAATTGTTAACAAAGTGTGTCTTCTTCTTCTTCATATCAATATCATGTATTTGCTAATAACACACAATTGCTCAGCGAATTACGTGAAATGATAAAAGTACTTCAACTACCGTTCAGGTGCTACTACTTACAATATGCTTCTAAACGTATAATTAAATTTACAGGCCATAGAAGTATGTACGGATGTATACTTTTCCAAGAATTCGCTCAACTTTCCGTCATATTACCAATTATACTTATGCTTATTTATACTCCTAAGAGTACTTATAATTATAATTAAACTTACACTTATACGTATATTTATGCTTACGCCTTATAAGCAGCACAATGGTTCCAGTGAACGAGAACTTAAGCGACTTATAAAAGAAATCAAATTTATCGTCACACGTCGATCCAGAGACGCGTTTATTGCACACATATTAGTCGTTGGAGTAAGAGTTTTGTATACGATAGCTTGCCAAATCGATAACACACACGATAAAATCTAAATGCGCATTAATAGTCAAAGAGCAAGAGCGAGAACAAGAACAAGAACGGTAGTCCTAGTTCCAAAAAATTAAATACCCCTTTTACTGGCACAACGGCTTTATGAATATTCAAGATTGTCATATTTAATGAAGCAAACAGAGCGTAGTGCAAGAGATTAAGTCTTTGTTTTAAGCGGTAAGAGTTCAATGTTGCCGTCCATCGTGCGATGAACGAGGGAACAAGATTTCCACTTTCCCCCGATCCACTAATGCGAATTGAATCGTTTGACATGACATGAATACTAAGATAAGATTAAGATAATAAATCCTTTTTAACTTATGTTTGTTCGTTTACATTGCTTTTAACAAATGACTCCAGCAGTCCAATCAAGATTGCAATACATCCATCAGATTGAAATGCAGCAGAGCAAAAGAAGTGTTAAGGTATCAAGCTGATTGCATTTCTTGTCCGCCATTGGGTTGCAAGCAGGGTGGCGCCTACATTTCATTCATATAAAGCATCAATCCCAAGCTTATTAGCACCTAAGATATATAGTCTTAAGCTACGAAAGTCTGTGCTCCAATCTCCAGCTGTCTATACGACGGTGAACATTTCAATAATTCGAGTCGATTCAAAACATAGATAGACCCGATAAATATATTAAAAAGTTAATAAATCTTTTTCTTTTCGGAGTGGAGACCTTTTTAAAACTCGTTCATCTCATTCATCGATAAAATAATGAAAATCTAATGAAAATCGCCAATCGATACAAAATAAGGCGCTTCAAGCTTGAGATATTAATGGTTAATCTTGCAATCTTATCCTTAACACTGGCTCTAGATAACGGTGTCAACCGAAAAGGTTTGGGGGACTAGAACGCAACAAGCCAAGTGCTGCAATTTCATATGAAATATGGCGGGAGCCACAAAGTCATGGATTACCCTTTTCATCACAACCCCTTTAACATGGGTATTAAATGAAATGCTTGAGTGTAGAGTAGAATGCGATAAGATGGATGTGTTAACAGGTGTTACATTAGACTGCTTAAGTGCCGTTTAGTGAAGAAAAGTTAAAACAACAACTAATCGTTCGAAGACTTACAAAGCTTTGTTTACAGAAGCTTTATTGTGTAAGAAAGGAACACTCACCGGAATCAGCACAACGAGAAAGTAGATAATTCCAATTCTAATTGACTCAAAAAGGGAAAAATCCTATATATAAAGACAGGGCAGCACACCATCCTGTGATTAGTCGTATGACGGCTTTTCCAGAATAAGCCTTTATGTGGGTAGCGGGTAGCGCAAAAGTTGTCCGATCCGAGCCATTTTCAATAGCGTTCGTACTTAAGCCCAAATTCAATTGAAAAGACATATAAAAACAAGTCAGACAGACGGACAGACGAACTTAAATTGATTCAGAAAATGGATCTGAAACGATCGGTATAATGAAAGGTGATTCTATTTCAACTCCTTCTAGGCGTTGCATACATCCACCACAAACATAATATGCGCCGTGTGCCGCAAATAGTGTAGGGTATAAAAATTTGAGTTGATTACTTGGTCTTTCAACTCATCTATCTATCGAATGAATATATGTATGAATGGGTTAGAATTGCCTTGTGCGTACAAATGCATGCATGTTATATTCATCCGTAATGCAACATATGCTGTATATCACTCAGAGATGTAATTATTTATAAGATTTTGTATAATTCTATGAAAATTTTCAACTTTTACCGAAGCAAAGTAGAATTTGGCTTAGTCTTATTTCTTAATAACTCTTAAGCTTAAACAACTGAACCAAAAAAAAAAAAAAAAAAAAAAAAGAAGAAAAGAAGAAAAACAGGACAAGGAAAGAAAGAAAACCAAAAAGAAATTCAAGTTCGGTTCAAGTCGGATCTTCTGACACCTAACATGAGCACATTTTTTTCAGTATTTTAATAAATCGATTTTTGAACGGAAAAAATTGTTAGATAAAAATGCAAACAACTATTGCAAAAGTAAGTTATTATGCAAACGTAAACATTATATTAGGCCTTATAAACTAACCAAATATGATTGATATCCTTGTACATGATGATGTGCAGTCGTACTGTTAATGTTGTTCGCGTGAAAAGTCTGCAAAGTATGGCATTTGAGCGTTTAAGATTTTGTCTGTGCAAATGTGAGCGCACCTATGATCCGAGCTAATTGGTTTTTGAAATTCACTTAACGTGAGCAACACGGAACAAGCGTTGAGATGGCTTCGAAAGAGATGGTTACCCCACCCTTCATACTACTACTTATTATAGATATATATATATATATATATATATACTCATTAGGTTTAAACAAAGTAGTGAAAGACTCACACAGTTCAACTCTTACTATATGGAATCATTGTGTGTTCACGAATGGTAGGGAATTTGTTACAAAACAAAAATACACATAATTAAATAAAAAAATTTATTTATAACTGGGTTTTCACAGATTTTACTAAAAACAAAATTGAAGCAAGACATCTGCTGGCCTTCCCCTGACCGTATTATAATTTTAAGCCTGTGATGACAAACCAAAGTGTTTTTAAAAATAAAATTTAAAATCTAATAAGCGGATGAGTTTTTTTCGCAAAATTTTTCTTAAAAAAATATGACATCGCGCCTTTAATTTTTCTTCTTCTTCCTGTTCTTCTCTTCTCTTTTTTTTTTGTTTTTTTTTTTTTAATTATAAAACGCAACATTATCACTTAAATGAGAATGAAAGGAGCCAGTAATGCTTGAGTGATTATGAAAAACATGATTTTCAAAAAAATTTTTGATTTGAAATTCAAAAACACGAAAAGTTTACGATAACGATTATCAATAATAGACGAACTAGGATATTAAGCGTACAATCTGGACTATAATACAAGGTATATACATATATATATGTATGCATATGTAAAATTCTTCTAATTTCCTAAGCTTTGCTTATGTTCTACTTATGTACGACGGTATGGGCAATAAAATTGAAAAGCATGAAAGAATGTTAAGACAACATTTGTGCGTTTCAATGAAAGCAATGCAAATGTAACGTGTAAAACGTTTTTCAATGAAATTATTTTATTTATTCATTTATTTGTTTTTGTTTTTTTTTTGTTTTTTTTTTTTGTTTTTTTTTTTTTTTTT